CTCGGAATTCAATTTCAAACACTCTCATGGCCAAATCGGAGTAAAAGGACCGCCCAGTTGGTCAAAAATCGTGGGCAAAAGACCAACGCGAGTAATTTCAAAAACTGCCTCCGATGAGACCCTTTTCGATTCCCATTATGCATAAATTTTTCACTATTGTGATCATCATTTTCTTCTCTGTAGGTTGACTGAAGCAAAATACCCAACCATAATGTGAGTCGGAGGAGCCGCCGCACCGGAGAGCTCTGTCGCCAGTAAGTTTCAATTTTTTATGTTTTTTGGGCCAATTGAGGCCCTTTAATGTGTTTTCTCGTAAGGATTGATACAAAATTAGCCGAAAACTACCGACCCGAGGCAGACCGCCACTGCGGGCTGCGGCGCCGTCACCGGAGTACGGCGGAGCCGCTGTGCCAAAATTTCGAAATTGGTCAAAAATGGGTCTTGAGACTGATTTTTTATTTTTGGGACATTTTTAGGTATTTATAGCGTGTTTTAATTCTCGAATAAAAATTCAGAGAACCTAAGGACCGCCAGTAGGTGCAGTCAACAGCTTAGCTTTTCAAGCATCAAATTGTATAAGAATCCCTCACTCTATTCTTTGTTATGAAATTGAAGTCAAATTAACAATAATACGGTATTTTGTACCATTTAGAAAATATCTATAATTAATTACTAGTTAGTAATGGAGCTAGAACTGAAAATCTTTTTCTGTTAATTTCTGTCGATTTATTTTACAGTTTGAATACAGAATAATATCTGATTTATCAATTTTATAGTTTTGAATGCATGTATTGCTGCCTTATGTGACTACTGTTAAATTAGAAAACTGAGATATGATTGCATTCCCTGATGCATATTTGTTTGTTTATATAATTACGGTTGAATTAGAAAATAGAGACTAAAGAAAAATAGAAAATTGTGTGTTCAAGTGAATGCATGAAACAGCAGTCTTACTGGGTATCCTGGAAGATGGTGGACGGACCAGGTACAATAGGAAAACCTACCATAAACGTTGTATCATATCGAATGGGGTATTGAGACTTGGTAATTTGGCGCTCATACTGGACGGAGTATGGAGACGACCCGTTTCATCCTCATATCGGATGAGGTATTGAAATTTAGTAATTTGACACTCATACCGGACGGGGTATGGGGACGACCCGTTAATTGAGAATGTTAAAGGAAATGGTTCACGCGTAGCGGAAACATTCTTATGAACTCCCATGGATACCAGCAGGCTAATGGAAATAGACAGTTATTGTTTGATTTGTTGAATATGGATTTATAATGTGTATATGTTACTGATTGCATATGAAATCATGATAAATGCTATGTTATTATCTCTATAGGTTATTTTTATAAATCTCACTGCGGTAAGTGGACGGTAAATAATTTTATTATTGATAAATACATTTATTTAATTAAGTACTCTATTAGTTGTTTCGATTTTCTACAAACCTTCATCTCTGTGTCGGTGAATAGTGTGATATTCTTACTAGGGTAGTATATCTCATTTCTTATTTAACCATTTCAGATTAATAGGAGCAGGATCTAGAGCTCGATCCACAAGAGGGTTACGAGTAGGATACCAGTTTTATTTTTTTTTCGTTTATTTCCTTAATTTTTTTGTTTTTCCTCCAAAAGTATAATTCCCATAATACTATTTTAGACTTTAAGTTTATGTATAAGAAATGTAAATCTTAACTATTTATTTCGCTTCTGCACTAAATTCATAATTTATTTCTTTCAAAATTTCTGGAGTCTTTATAGCCTAACCTAGTAATGGTTCGACTACAAGTCGAGACTAAACCGAAGAAGTTCATATTATGCAATTCCTTTGATTTGAAAATTTGATAAAAGTACAATCCTCATTTAGGTTTGAGCACAAATTTTACATGGTATTAATAATTAGTTACCGAATTATGTAAAATATATAATCGCTCGTCTAATGCAATTAATATTTGTGTTATAAATTATAAAAATATTATTATTTGGTGAAAATAGTAAAAAATTATTTTTATTTAAAAAATAATAATTAATTAGAGTGCTATGTAAAATATATAATAGTTTGTTTAATACAATTAATATTTATATTATAAGTGATGAAAGTATTATTAAAATATTAAATAAATTTTTTGAAAAATTATGTTTTTATCAAATAATTTTTTGAGTTATTTATAGAAATAATATCTTATATCAAATATGAATGAGGAAAGTATTCTCCTATTTTATTTATTACAAAATACCATTTATA